TTCGTTTACTTGGGAACCAGCATTAACACCGATAATAATGTCAGCATCGAATGCCAACGCAGAATCATTCTTGCCAACAAGTGGCACACTGGACTGAGTAGGCAATTCAGGATTAAAGTCCTCTCTCGATGTACTAAAATCACACTCTATAAGTCACTCATCTTTCTCGTGCTGGTATATAGCGCGGAAGCATGGACAATGAAAACATCTGATGACACCGCTCTTGGAGTTTTCGAGAGAAATATTCTGCGGCAGACTTACGGCCCTTTGGGCGTTGACGATGGCGAATACCGCAGACGAATTAACAATGTGCTCTAGGAGCTTTACAACGATGTATACATAGCGCATCGAATTAAAATACAGCGGCTCCGCTGGCTTGGTCATGTCGTTCGAATGGACTGTAACGCTCCAGCTCTGAAAGTATTCCACGCGGAGGACCTTCTCTGCGTTGGAAAGACAAGTTGGAGAAGAATTTGGCTTCACTTGGCATTTCCAATTGGTGTAAATAAAGAAGAAGAACAGTTGGCGGAACTAGATGAAACATTTAAAACTTACTTAATTTAAAAACTTAAAATTTTTTTTTTACAACTTATGTATCTCCTGACATCTAGCAAAGTGGGAAATTGTTGCCGTGAAAAGAGACAATTTATTGCATGACTCTTTACATGGATATAAAACTAACTAAAATCGGTATTTACAAAACCCATACTTTTGAAATATATTAGCCATTTAAGCGGGCGTTTTAAGATACACGACTTTTCCCAATATTTTCCCCGCTATTATATTTTTCGTTTTGTATTACCAAACTATGAAAAGGCGTCTTTGAAGTGCAGAATGAAAGTTTATTTGATCAACAAAGCGCCAAACAAATATCTATTTAAAGTGAACAAGCCCCGGCTACACCACATTCGTCACTAAAGTGATTAAAAAAAAAATAATAAAAATTTTTCGTTTAGACGCCAAAATAAGTCTCAGAAAATATGAGCCCTTAATACTTATATTAAAAATGTCCACATCGCACTTTTCGATTTCCCAAAACAACACAGGAAAAAATTTTTATTTTACTTCTGGTTTTCATATTTAACGAAGATCCGTTGGACTGTAAAGGTCTTAGAATATTTTTGTAGGGAATTGAACGCTCTACAAAAATGTCTTAAGTAATTTTTTGATAAGTGAACTCGGTCAAAAATTATTCGAGGTCAAAGTTGAAATGGTGAATTCGACTTTGACCACGAATAACTTTTGACCGAGTAGACTTATCGAAAAATGACTTCAAACCTTTTTTGTAGAGCACTCAATACTCTACCAAAATGCTCTAAGCCCTTTACAGTAAAATGTATCGTTCGTTAAATATAAAAATCAGAAGTAAAAAAAAACAATTTTGCCTGTGTTATTCTTATGGGAAATCTAAAAGTGCGATGCGGGCATTCTTAATATTAATATTAAGGTCTCATATTTTCTAAGACTTATTTTGGCTTCTAAACGAAACTTTTGAGCATGGTTCCGATGAAAAAATAAATAAAATTTTCTGAATCACCCTTAGATATAGATTTCAAATATTTTGTTTTATTCTCTGGGACTATTCACATTTTCTGTGATGTTTATCGTTTGTGGAGATCTGATTCCCTCCGTTACTTCATTTAAACTGAATCTTTCAAAATGCGCCTCACTTCTTTATGAAATCGTGCCTATTTTGGACTTATTGCGCGATTTTTGATGTCTGATGCTTACAGGCCTAGTGGCATTTTAAAATAAACTGCGGAAATGTCGAACTCGATTCGTTAACTTATAATCGCCTTGGTTAACAAACTGTAATATGCACGTCTAATAATAATACGTCTATACTCTAGAGTCCGATCGATTTATCGGCATCGGCATCGACATCGGCTTTTCTCGGCACAAATTGAGCATCGTCATCGGCATCAGCATCGGCCCTTTTTCGCCGTTTCTTTGCCGATTATTTGGAAATTTCTTTTCATATGTGTATACAATAGCCAACATCAGAAAACATTTGCAGACAACTCACAAAAATGATTTTTTTGGTTGAAGGTGTTCACGTTTTTTCTTTACAAAAGTAAGTTCGACAATTTTCATTTATATGGAGAACACTGCCAGCGAAAAAAATTGCTAAAAATAAACGAGATTTTATAGCAGCTTGTAAATTCAACTTTTTATACTAGAATTAAATGGCCTACAAAACTGCATACCAAAATAAAAAGTTTGAAATTTTGGTTAAAATAAGCAGAATTTTTCTAATTTTTTTAGAAAGTTTGAAATCTGAATTTATATGGTGTTCGTTGTATACCAGCTAGACTTTAAAAAAAAAATTAAATACATCTAATAAACAAAAGATAAATGACAAATGCCAAAACCGGTCAAAATATCGCAATTCTTTTATTTTGTGGACCACTATATGTATGTGCAGTAGGGTGGTCCAAAATAAGTAAAGTCGGAATTTGAATGCTCTCGCCCCCTAGGATTATTCTATGTGGCAAAAAAATATACCCCTATTTTTTTATTTTGAGCTCAAAGCGCTGAAAGTTTTCCATGTATTTTATATGGAAAATAGGCAACTTTTCAAAATTGTATGGAATTCTTGAAAATCAATATTTTTTCAATCGAAAAATTTTGGTTCTCTTCAGGAGACTTCCAATAAGAATACCCAGTTATTCATTTAACCATAGCTCAAAGCGCTCAAAGTTGTCCATGTATTTTATATGGAAAATAAGCAACTTTTCGTAGAAATAGTATTGAATTATTGAAAACCAATATTTTTTCAATCGAAAAATTCTTGTCCTCTTCAGAAGACTTCCAATAAGAATACCCAATTGTTTATTTAACCATTCAATTAAAAGAGCCTGCTCTTCCGCTCTTTACTTTAAAAGCTCCCCAAGCCTATTAAGCACCAAAAGAAAATGTAGGAAACAGCGTTCTTTTTTTTAACTTTTATACATTAAAAATCTGAATTCGTCTGATAAGTCAACACCGCTTTGAGTGCTTTTACCTGTCACCATTAATTGTATCTTTAACTGCTCAGAGAAACGAAAAAATAAATAAGGCTATGCTTATGCTCCGTACTGTATACAAATTTTCGCTGTCAATAGAAAAAGCACTAATTAACATTTTTTTCGTATCGCGGGGTTTTTAAATATTCTGTTAGTTTTATTTTTACATTTGAAAGTCACATTTTGAAACATAAGGAATTAACTGACACTTAGAATACCTCTGAGTGTATTTCTTATGTTAATATGTAAATGTTTTGCACTGGGCTTTTAGGCCCTTTACATTGATAACTGTGATATGTATGTATGTATCTGTCGACTTGGACATTTGACTTTCCAAGTTATTTATTTATTTATTTTTCTTTATTTTTGCTAAGGCAGTTCAAATAATCAATATGACTCGGGTTATTTCTTACAGAAAAGAAACGCCGAATTCGAAATGAGCTTTCTACAAGTAGATATAAGTATATGTTTATACTTATTTATATACAAGTAAATGTATGTGTATATAATATTTCCAGATCTTTTACAGAAACAAGCTAATACATATTTCAATGAAATATAGCTGTATGCACAAATACATATCGTCACCTGAAATGCAAAAAGACGTAACAAACATCGTCGCTGAAATACAAAAAGTCGTAACTAGTAAAAATTCTAAATTCAGTTTTTGATTGATATGATGGATTTTATCGAAATGCAACTCCCACATCGTTTTATGAAAAATAAATAAAAAATGTTAGTGACGACTTTTTCCATTTCAGTTACGATGTTGTTACGTCTTTTCGCATTTCAGGTGACGATATGTACATAGTTATGCGGCATGAATAGCATGGCGATGGACTTACCTCGACTGGAGCAGGCTTCGGCGAAGTTTTCTCCTGTTTTTGTTTTGAAAATATTTGATATGTGGGGAAGTGTGTTCGTTTCCGTATGGGTTGGATTGTATTCGGGTTTTTATGAAGGTCGCATAATCACGAATTTAAAATACATAAATGAAATGGGAAAATGAAATTAGTACTTTAGGTAAATATGTATTTAGGTACGTATGTATTATTTTAGGTAACCAACTATACATAGTACACATACAAACATATAGCTTAAAAGATCACATATTTCATAAAAGTTCCACTTTATATATTTTCTAAAATATCAAGTACCATTCAGATAATAACAGTTTCTGGATTATTAGGGTTTGAGTTTATCTGGTTATAATTATTATTTTTCAGTTAGGTTGTTCACGCTTGCCTGGTTATCAGCTTATGTGGTTATATTTTTTATTCAGTTTACAACAATAAAATACATTACACAATAATAATTTTTAACCAGATAACCTGATAACCAGGCAAGCGTGAACCACCTCAGTGTAATTTATTCTCGAAAACTGAATGAAAATTATAGCCACATAATCAGGGAACCAGATAAACAGATACAATAGTCCTTTTTTGGAAGCATTGTACATAAATGTAGGTATGCATATAAAAAACAATATACGCACATTCGAATTGTTAATACATACTTACATTTTAAAAATAGTATTACCTTTTCACTTACCTCAGGTTCAATAATTACTGGACGTAAATTGGCGCTGTCAACGTCAGTAGCCTCTGCTGGTATGTTACCTTTACCAACTTTAAAGCCGCTAGGACTCTCAGCAGGAATTGTCTCAGCCTTTTCTATCTGTACACAAAAATACAAGTACACATTAAACATAAAACATGAGGAGTCTTACATAATGAGCCTCAGGCATAAAAATTGAGCTTAAACGTCGACTCATTTTCCAAAACTAATTATTGAGCTTTCGAGCTAACTTCTTTTGTAAAAAAATGTAGTCTGATCTTAAACTCACTTTGTAAACATGAAGTTCAATACGTATACACAAAACAACTTGTAAAGCAAAATAAAGTAAAAATTGGAACCGTATGCTCCCAGACGCTGCGAAACGACAAGGCTTCCCGAAACGCTACAGAGAGAGAGAGTGAGAGAAACTTGCGAATGCTTCGCTCTCTCCGACCAAAATCATTCTTTTCCAAACTGAAGTACGAATGAACAGTCATTGACACCGCGATTCACAATGTAGGTGTTCACACCTGCCCGGTTATCGGGATGTCTGGTTAAGTAATTAAATTTTTCAGTTTACAAGACTAAAATATTACCAGTTAACCCAATAACTAGGAAGGTGTCAATACCTACGATGTTTTCAAAAGGTAGGTAGATGGGCAAAAGTTTATAAATTTGTAATTATTGTCACGATACCGTACCTCTACTAGTTTGGTCCCGTTTCGGTTCTAACCAGGGAAGCCAACTCGTGGGGAATTCCCCGATTTGCAGGGAATTCCAGTTTGTGTGGGGAATTTCAGTTTATGTGGGGAATCAGGGGATTAATTGTTTTTTTTTTTGTCAGGAAATAGGTGTGAACTATTTTTTTCTTTTTTGCTTCACTAATTTCATAATGAGTTAAAAAAAGTTACATAAGAAATGCAACTGCAACCCTGCAATTATGAAAATTACCGTTGACTTTTTAGAATTTTCTTTTTCACATTTCCTTTCATTTAACGAATAAACACAGTTTATTTTCATATGGAAGAAAACCGCAACACCTTTGGGAAAAATATTCTAAAACGAAAATTCTTAGCCACTTGAAACTTGCACTTTACTACACTATAAATGAGTGAGCTACGAAGATGATTAAATCTTTCTAGAAAATCAAATTAAGAAGCTCGAAATTTTTAGCAAAGTTTTTTATATTTTTTTCTTTTAATATTGCACAAAGTTTGAAACCTGCATTTATACAGGTTTTGTTAAAGAATTAACCATATTAAAAAAAAATTACTTAAATCAAATAACAAAAAAAATAATTATGAAAACTGGTCAGACATATGTATATATTTTTTGTGAATAAGGAGATGCATATCTATGGGTGGGGAATTTTACGAAATTTCGGGCAAATTCGGCGAATTTTACTGTCGAAATCGGGGAATATTCACAAATTGGTTGGCTACCCTGGTTCTAACTAAACTAGTAAAAACAAGCACTGATACATTTAATGAATTTATTCTGCTCTCGATACTAGCTGACACTAACATTTTTTGAGAGAGGCATATGTATTTTTTGACCAGAGTGGGCTGTGATCTGCTTTTTTTGGCCTTTAACCGGGTATGTAAACAAATTGTTGTTTTTGGCCTGACTTTCAGTGAGTGGTTTTAAGTATGGAACAAAATAATGCGAATAGAGTCCAAAATAGTATTGTTAATGTCTGCTTCGAAAGAGTTAAATTGAGAAAAATAATACAAAACAAGAACGCGTTTTTTAGTTTCTTGCCAAAGTTCGCCGATTTGGACAACGACAAGTGCTGAAGGTGAATATTAGGTAATAATAGCTCTTGTTCATTGAACTACCTTTATGAGCTTAGTGTGTTCCCCAACTGAATATTGTAAAATTTACTTATTGCTATAATTTGTCGGATATAAGGATATGATTGTCCAAAAGCCTGTCTAAGTTTTTAAGTCAAGCACTCTAAGCATCCCAAAAGGCTCAGTATCGACTATTTCGCACCTTTGGTAATCCGTTTTTCAGTATGGCTTTCTCAGGTTCCTTTTTGTCTGTCACTAATGCTGGCTTTTCCATCTTTGAAGGTATGTCAAGCTCACGTGTAAAATCGCTTGCCTCGAACTCGGACTTTTCATATTTTTCCAGAACTGGACGTTCATAGTCCGGTATCTCTGGTAGTTCTTCGTACTTTGGTTTGGTTTTGGGTTTGGATTTGACCTTGGACTTAGCCGGCTCTGGCTTCGGGTCCTCTTTGGGCGCAGCTATGGAAGTTTTTCGTAATTTGGGCAGCTCTTCCACCACAGCTTTTTCCTCTTGCACTAGCTGCAATATTTCATTATCGAATAATGTGTGACAAAAGCATAAAGTTAGTGCAAATACATTTTGTTTGAACTTATTTACTTGTACATACATACATACATTAGGTTAGTGAGGAAACAGAAAGTTAGTAGCAAATAGAGAATAAAAGTTTTAGCAGTGAAAATTGTTTAGAGTAGTGTCACCCGAAGTTAAGTAAGGACTCATGCGCACAGAGGGCTTACAAATGAGCTGATCAGCGAGCAGATAAGCGCGGAAGGAACAATCGTAGCGCAAGTATTCTAGCATGTAGATAAATTAAACAAATCTAAGTGTGATTGCTCTATCAGCGCTTATTAGTTCTCAGACCAGGTCATTTTTCAGCACAGCTGTAAGCTCTATGTGAGCGCGGTGCCTCTGACGTGGAAGAAAGAAAGCTCAGTATTTTTCAGAAGATAAAAGAGATAGACAGGGGTTGAAATGTTCCGACACTTATAATTAAAACAAATTTGTAAATATTATCTATGCGATGAATTTTATGAGAAAATTTCATTTATTTTAACTGTTATAGTCCAACGGGCAACGTGTGACTTTGGCACCTCTAGAGTTTTCAAGGGTGGATAAAAAAACTCATTTTTTAATCAGTCTGGCTCCTTGGGATATCAGAGTTGATACTCCCTCGAAACCGGAAAGATTGCGAGACTGGTAGGGAGGTGAAAAGTGGGTGACAGACGAGGCTAAAGTGGCAATTAACAGAGAACTATTTACACTATTATAATCAGGCTAAATTTTATGAATTATCGTAAATCGAATCCTCAGAAAAGCTTATATTTTAAGCCAAACAATAATTCGGGGGGGTTTCAGACAAGGTGATTTCTCATGTGATTTCTTTAATCTGATTAGGAAAAAATAATAAGAGCCGCAGAACTGAACCACTCAGACACAAGAGCGTGCAATTGCTGGCATATGCCGATGACATCGACATCATCGGTAAAAACAAGGGCTACGTCTGTTCTGCCTTCTCGGGTCATGCCATATGAATACGCTCCAGCTCTGAAAGTATTCAACGCGGGTCGCGATGCTGATCAAATAGGAAGATGAAGGCCCTTTACTGCGTTGGAAAGACCAGGTGGAGAAGAATTTGGTTCCACTTGGTATTTGCAGTTGGCGTCAGTTGCCACAAAAGAGAGACGACTGGCGTGGTCTGTTGAACTCGGCCAAAATTGCTTAGGCGGTTACAGCGCAAACAAAGAAGAAATTGATTTACTAAAATGTCACAACGCACTCATGATGAAAAATCTAGCCTGACTATAAATGGTGTAAGAAAAACGTTGCCAACTCTTGAACTATTAGATTAATAGTATCGTAAACGTCGCTTAAATTTAATTCTTACACACCGCTTTTTATTTGATAAAGCTTAAAACTTAATAAACGTAAAGGAAAAGATTTCAAGCCACTTATCAAATGACATTCTTATAAGCAGTGAAAAAGTTAACATTTTGTACAAATTTGGAAAATTCCAACCCAAAAGAACAGATAGATTTTATCTAATGGATTTTATGAGAAGCTTTTTCATGGTAGAAATACACTCGGCGGTTAGTCATTGCCTGCCGAGGGGGCCGCTGTTAGAAAAAACTTTTTATAATTTATATGTTGCCAGGAATCGAACCGTGGTCCTACGGAGTGGTAGTGCGCACTTCTAACCACTCAGCCACAGCGGCCGCTTTTATCATTCCGTTAAAAAAGCTGGATATAGATCAATCATTAAACCATGTAGACAATTTCTCACCTTTGGTATTTGCCGTTTTTCGGCAGGCTTTAGTTTTGGGATTTCTTCTTTTATTTGTTGTGGGCTCTTATTCGCTTCAATTTTCTTGCTTTCGAGTTTCTTTTAAAATATACATTTATTGTTAAGGTCAGTTTAGGACGTGGCTTTTCGGGGAAGCATTTACAAAGGATTAATATTTTTTGCTAGAAAAACATTATCTTTCAAATAAATGTAAGTGTTTTGTTTATTCACATCGCAGTTTCGTACGATTAACGCAATCGGAAACAGCGGCCGCAGTATCATTTCAAATCTGCATTTATTTGGTATATTTAAGTGAAAAAATTGAATAATCCTTTGGTTTTTTAAGGGAAATGCTTCTCTTGAATTCAAAAACGCAATTTACCTCAAGCGCCTTCTTTTCCACAACGGATGACCTTCTAGACGACATGTTGGATTCGTCCATTTGCTGTTAAACAATTCAACATAAATCACCCAAATGTACAATATATGGGAGTTACATATACTTAGTAAGTGTAATTACTAAACAATTACATATGCATTTCATATTCAATACATACCACAACCGATGAGCGCCTCGATGATACTTTTTCTCCATCCATTATGGTGGTCTCCTCTGTTTTTATTACAGACTTCCTACGAACTTCTAATTTATGTTCTTCTTGTATACTTGCCTATTATATATTGTAAAATATATGATGACATAGTTCACATTATATACACATTATATACACATTAGGAGCGGCAAATTTTAGCATTTTGTATAATAATGATCCGCCAAGAATCTCCCCTCTCTAGGATAATTGTAAGAGGTCCTGCGTCGAGCATTTAGTTTTCCTGTAGGAATTACGCATTAGTTCTTTCCTTTTGAGGTCAATATAATTTTCTAGGATCAATGAAAACGCTCGAAACTGTAAGAACACATTGATTACATGCCGTTTAAGTATTATGCATGCTCATATCCTTAAAGTCCAAAAAAATGTGACTAGATTTGACCCAAATAGGACAAGGGATTAAAAAAGGATAACTTAATAATAATAATAGATTGGCGCTTACACATATGTTAGTGTTTGGCCAAGCTTCTCCTCCGATTTGTGGCGTGCGCCTTGATGTCGTCACTCAAAGAGGAGGGACCTACAGTTTTACGCCGACTCCGAACGGCGATTGTATTTTTATGAGAAGCTGTTTTTCATGGCAGAAATGCACTCGGAGGTTTGCCATTGCCTGCCGAGGGACGACCGCTGTTAAGAAAAAACCTGTTTCCTAATTTTTTTTTGCAATGGTGCTTCGACCAGGGCTTGAACCCAGGCGCTGCGGAGTGGAAGCGCACACTTAGGAATTTAAATAATCTGAGCTTGCATAAAAAATAAAGAAAATGATATTGTCCTCAAAAAGAAAGAACTAATTTTCTTACGTGTAATTCCTATGTGAAAACTAAATGCTCGACGCGGACCTTTTACAATTGTCCTAGAGAGGGGAGATTCATGGAAGATCAATACTATACCAAATGCTATAATTTTAGTCCTTTGCCGTTCGCATTGCGGGATTTTTTTATTTTGACGTGGTTTAGTATATATGTATTTGTAAGTGCAGATGTACGTAGATGTACGATAGAAGTCCTACCATTGATCAAGAAACAAAACAAGGCTTAAGTAGTTATAGAGCATTAAATAAAAATTAATCAGCTGGTGTTGTTGAAATTTAGAGCACATTTATAATTTCGTAATGCATTTACATATATGCGAATCTTCCCCGATCAAAAAGAGCATCGTAGAAAGTTATACAGTAAACATCCCAGTTTTCTTAAGAAAAATTCTTGTTTATCGCACCAGTAAATAGTTATTGTAAAATATTCAGATTCTCACGTGGAAGACTAGCACATTTTATTATTCGCGTCGGAGAGTAGCACATTTCAAAATAAAGGGCGTTCAACATTCATTGCTCTGTGTAAAGTCGTATTTAACACCTATGTCTGCGTGATTTTTGCTAGTTTTTGTTGATAAATAAATTAATTAAGTAAGTGTAATAAGCTCAAATTGTTTTGAATTCTCTTATTTGTTATTAATACTATATGTACATTAGGGTGGTCCTTAAATGTAGGCGTCAAATTTTTAAATCAGATTTCCTAAGCCTCATCCCCTACGTCGATGATACTATAGCCGAAGATATCACATATAAATTTTGGTACCGATTTGAGGCGGTTAAGGCGTGTCGCGCAGGAGGCAAATTTCAGATTCCTCAATGGAGACTCAAAAAATTTAAATTAATTTTTTTTTCACCTACTTAGTATCAAAAATCGATACTTCTTTAGTCGAAGATATCGCTTATACATTTTGGTCCTTATTGAAGCCGGTTAAGGCGTGTCGCACAGGGGTCAAACTTCAGATTACCCTACGAAAAGGTCTTAACCGACTGCAATCGGGACCAAAATTTAAATGTTATATCTTCGACTTTAGTGGTATCGATTTTCGGTATTAAATGAAGAAAATAATTTTAGTTTTTTGAGTCTCCATAGAGGCTTCTGGCCTTTGATCGCTTTGCGGACCGCCTTAACCAACTCCAATCGGGACCAAAATTTATATGTGATATCTTCGACTATGGTAGTATAGATTTTGGGTATTAGATGGAAAAAAATTCATTTTAATTTTTTGAGTCTCTATAGAGGAATCTGAACTTGCCCTGTGCGACACGCTTTAACCGTCTCCAATCGGAACCAAAATTGATATGTGATATCTATGATCGCGGTATTACCGATTGAGGGAGTAAAACTGACAAAAATAGTTGATTTGATTTTTAAAGACCACCCTAATGTACATATATGTTTTTCGTATTTATAAATAAAGACTCCCTGAGGAAACGTAAACGTTTGTTTTTACTTGATTTTGTTTGAAATAACCGACCGAGAAGCTCCAGACGCAACATTAAACTTATAAAATGCATCCAAGGGCCGGTTATTCAATGTCCGGTTAACATATATCGAAGGTAGAAGCTCTGGTTAAATATAACGAATGCTTTAACGAACACATTTTATATGCATGTTGTTGGAAACGTCGATAATGATGTTGAACTGGTAGGTACTGATAACCAGTCATTGACGCCGTAAGTTTTGTTTTTGTACGGCTTATACCACCTTAAATGAATTCGCCTTGTGTGCTACTCCTCCAAGCGGCAATCTGAAATGTGCTACTCCTTCAAGTGAGAATCTGAAATGTGCTACTTTTCTGCGGGAATAATGAAATTTTCTACTCTTCGAAGCGAATAGCGAAATATGCTACTCTTCGCAGGGACCGACGAAATGCTTTTTACAATCGTACCTTCTACTTCATACTTTTCTACTTATTGCAGCGGTCATTATTGCTCGTCGAATGTAACCACTATCGTTTATCGATGTCAAATAGTAAAACCGAATTTAACCCTTTCGAAATATTTATTTGGAATTTTCGAGATTAAACGGCGCAGTGAGAGCAAGCTCATAATCATTCGTAAGAACTAGCGCGCAGATAGAACATATTAATAATATTGGAACATCGGAAGGCAATAAGGAAAATCGTAAAAAACTATGCATAAAAATTATTGTTTAGCTTTTGGAAACTGTAATTTTGTTGTATTAGGGAGTTGACAAGGTGTTGTATGCTGTCGTATTGTTGTATGTGGTAAGCTTTATAAGCTTAAATAAATGTTTAGAGGACTTGAAACTACAACCAGCTTTTTTTAACACTGTGAAAATTCATAATATATATGACTTTTATCAGGGGTGGAGCAATTTAAAATTTTTAGAGTTTTGATAGTTTTTAATTTCTTGAAGTTTCCCCTTTTTAATAACATGAGTGGAATTCCTAAATTTTCTAATCTTCAAAACTTTGTGAATTTTAGAAATTTTAGTAAATCCCAATAATTCAATATAATGACTAGATTTCTAAAAATTTTTTTTTTCAAAAATTTTGAGAATTGTAGGAATTCTAACAAATGTTTTCTAAGTAAAAGTGTCGAATATACAAAATTGATCAAACGAAATTAAAAGTTTTCGAATGTTGAAAATATTTTCATATTTCGTCGTTTTTGGAAATTTAAAAAATCTTCGTAATTCTTGAAGATTCAAGAAAATTTTGGACATTGATGTTTTCAAAATTTTCAAAAAATTTAAAATTCTCAAACTTTGTTATATCAATACAAAATTTTAGAAAAGTTCAGAAAAGTGGAACAATTTTAGAATTTTTCAAAAATGTTAATATCTTTTACATTTCAAAGAATTTTCTATTTTTTACACACAAGTACCATGAACATACGAATTTTTCGACAATTTGTGATGTTTCACATTTTTACATTTTAGGATGGATTTTAGGATAAATAAAATTCTAAAAATTTTGGAAAATATAAAAATTTCTAAAATCTCAATAATTTTGTACATTTAAAAATATTCTCATTTTACCAAAATTTCTAGAATCTCCCGGATTTCGATAGTTTTTGAAATTTTGGAAATTATCCTAAATATAAGAAATCCCAAGAAATTTAAAAATATTATAAAATTAAACATTTTGGAATTTTTTGTTTTCTGAACCTGTCAAAATATTCAAACTTGCTGTGACTTTCAACTGTGTAAAATAATACAAATTCGAAAATATAACAAAAAAGTAAAAATTGAAAATTAAGTACATAATTTCAAAATTTTGAAAATTCAGTGAATTAAATAACATAATACTTCGAGCTTAGCACACAGCTAAAATTTCAAACTCAAGTGAAATTTGACACACTTTTTCCATGAATTAAAATTTTCAAAAGCATCCATTCATTAGGTTTGTTCCCCAAGCTTCTCGAAGTCACTTCGAGTTACATATACGCGCTCCGCTCAGCAAGTAAGTTTTCGAGTTAAACTTTGCTCGAGTTTTTCTACAAGCAGCTTGTGGGACCTATTATTCTTGAAATGATATTTCACGATATTCAGTTGAATATTATGAAAATACATGTTATACAGTCTTGGGGGGGCGGGGGAAATTTCCCCAATTCCCCCTACCTGGGTCCGCCACTGCTTTTATGGTACCTTGCGAACGCCCTATATATATTTTTAGCCGTTTAAAGTTTACGACATACAACCATAAGACAGAATACAACTCCTTGTGTAGTCCGAAGTAGCGATTTTCAACGGGCTAAATACATTTTTTGTAGACTACGATGCTTTTCGAACAAACAATTAGCTTATATTCAAAGTGATGCTTAATTACATACAAATTAAATTTCCATAGAATACATTTAAAAATTCTTCCTCCTGCGTATCGACCGTTCACAAAAAAACAAATCACGGATTACTACCGAAACGAAACCCAGGGCCCAATTTCAGATGAGATATTTAAGTAGAGATCGTTGATTAACTTCGAAAATTAATTTTCAGATCACATATTTAAACTGAACTTACTTGACTATTTAAATATGAGATATCCAACACTGTGTTTATGTCAAGCAACAATCAGCTGTTCAGCACAGAATGTAAACAAATGAACAAATGCAATAATAACTTCAAGGAACAAGCAACAGTGGTGCCACTGTTTGGCATATTTAAATAAATGTGATTTTAAACCCAATGAAAGCCAAACGGCATCAAAAAACAACAATCCTAAATTAAACTTAAGTGCCATTCAATTCATCTGATATTGGCCCTTAGTGCAGGTTGTAGCAAGGG